GATTCACTCAGGATCTTAACAATTTCCTACAAGATTTTCGCAGGATCTTGACAATTTCCTACAAGATTTACTCAGGATCTTAACAATTTCCTACAAGATTCACTCATCAGGATCTTAACAATTTCCTACAAGATTTTCGCACGATCTTAACAATTTCCTACAAGATTCACTCAGGATCTTAACAATTTCCTGCAAGATTCACTGAGGATCTTACAATTTCCTACACGATTTTCGCAGCATCTTAACAATCTCCTACAAGATTCACTCAGGATCTTAACAACTTCCTACACGATTTACTCTGGATTTTCACAATTTCCTACAAGATTCATCAGGATCTTAACAATTTCCTACAAGATTTACGCAGGATCTTAATAATTTCCTATAAGATATACTATGGATCTTAACAATTACCTACAAGACTTGCTACTCAACCCCAGGATCCTAAAATTTTCCTACAACGTTTACTGGATGTCACTGATAACTAAAATTCGTAAAATGGGCTAAAATTAGGTATGGACGTAAATGATTTGATTATTGTCGTGTAAGCAAGATATAATAAGACAGCTAGAATTTTGAAGATGGAATTGGAATTTAATAACTCAATTAAGAGTTTCTGTCGAGATAAACTCGAAAAAACCGTAATACAGACTGGATTGTTCACATGATTGAGATCAGTGCCTTCAGTCAATCACGTTGCCATATATGGGCTCCCATGCAGAAGGCTTAGCGGGCACATTTCGACTTCGAGCGCGTCGTTTGGAAATTTTATTTTATACGTCGGTTGATAATGGCCAAATTTTCTTAAAATATTGAAGAAAATAAGAAGAAATAATCCAATTTTTGAAGATTCACACAATAATTTTGAATGTAAGTGTTCAACTATGTCCATATTTTGAAGTTTTGTGTGTAAACATGTGCCATAAATAGTTGTATTCATGTATATTTTTTATTAACCGCGCCTATGCTGTTGGTCGCATTTTATTTTGTATTGGGTTCAATAATACATTGTTATTAAAATACATTAAATCTTTGTGATATTGCTTTGTATTTACAGATTATAATTACAAGCAATAAATACAGTCATAATATTGTGATCCAAGCAAGTCAAACTGTCGAAATCATGATATATAAAACGACAACAGACTAGAATATGTACAGGCTACAGCTGTCAAGATCAAGAAGGTATGAATATTGTTTATATAATTGTGTATTGAGAGGATATCAATACCGACTCATTTAGCTAATATTGATATAATCGCCAGAGAAAGTTTTATGGCTTTGTATGAGAGGAGAAGAATCCTTCCTTTGTTTTATCTATATTGTGCTATCATAATACATAGCTATATGTCCATTTATTATCCAGATAACCCCTAAATACACATGTTGCTGAATTCCCTGAATACATTCAGGATATATGTTTCTCATAGTTATACCTCTGAGTAATTCCAAGCTCAAAACACTGACCCCTGGGGAAATTATAGTGTACTCCTGAGGAAATTATAGTGTAGCCCTGATTCACTAATTGCCCTGAAGAAATAGCCCAATATGCTAAGTAGTATGCAGACCCTAACATGGCATTAGTAAATGTTTATGAGTCAAGTTGTGTGTTTATATCAAACCGAGGCAGCCCAGATACTAGAGTAAGCTCATTATAGTGTTGTACCAACTACCCACAGATGATAGAATGGCATTCTTACTAAATGTACCTGTGGTTGGTCATATCCAAGCAGGATAGTGAGATAATCTGGTCACCAGCTATTTCCCAAAGGTAGTGCTTATTGTGACTGAGAAAAAAAGTTTAAAAAAGACAAACTTGCGTATAACTTTAATAAAAATAATGAGTCTGGCTAATGAGGTTTTTGGGTAATAGTAGGATTATGTACAAGTTAACTTGGACTGTAGAATAATCCCAATTTTCATTTTGTAGCAATCATTCACCACAGAAAATTACTGTACAAATTGGCACAGGAAGGCATGTTCAAGGGAAAAGCTGGTGCAGCATTGTGTACAACTGACACTGAGACATACAGCAAGAACTGGTTTAATTTATGTGCTTCAGTTACTTCATATTGTAAGTCATTACAACTTTACAGTTAATATTATCCTGCCACTCTGGTTATAACCAATTTCTCTGCCAATTGTACCTTGTTAAATCGTAGTATGCCAGAAACTATTTGACCTGTCCTAAAAAAGTGTTACTTGTCAATACTTTAGCCAAACTTTCTGCCCAAATGTCAAATAATATAATCGTCACCAACAAAAGATTAGATTGGGTTTGCTCTATCTACTGTTAGTATAAGTATGATACTTCCTCAAAAGCCCATATAAAGACGTCCAGTGCACTCTTCGTAATATTCTCTGATGCAAAATAATTATCTTTTTAAGGGAACATGTTGGCTTAGATTAATGTTTAACAAAGAACAGTTACAGCAAAACATTTGTGGATTTTTTGCGCTACAATATAGTGATGTGTTCTTATTCGACTGTGTCAAAGTGCCATTCAGCAAAGACTATTCGTTTCAAATCACCCGTACATCTGGTAACATGAACTTTAATTTGGATTACAGTTACTGATATAAACTATGTTGACATGATTCAATTGAATCAAAACATGTAATATAAACTATAGTTTTAACCCATTGAGCCGCAATGCGCCCCAGTGTGCCCTACCTTTTTTTACTTGTCTAACACCAGACGATTTTACTCGTCAATGCATGGGGAAGCTCTGCAGCACCAAAAAATCTGACAATGTCTCTAGTTAAACGATTGAGCTGTAATGTGCCCGAGTGCATGCTACTTATTTTTTACTTGTCTAACGCCAGACAATTTTACTTGTCAATTTAGAAGCTCTGCAGCTTAATGGTAGCCTCCTCCGCAGGCATCTCACCCGACGAATCGGGTGGTGGGAAAAAGTTTGGTGAGATGCCTGCCATAAATCGACACAAAAATTTGCACTGCGCATACCGGCTCGCGCATGCAAATTTCGACAAACTCAAACTTAGGGGGAGTAGGAAGGGCTTACGGCAAGGAGTGAAGAAAATTTTGTTTTCAACACGATGGCTTACAAGACGAGTAAAACTGTAAAATTAACGAATAATCCTGCTCTTCAACATTGCAAATACAAAGGGAACTTTGACTAAGGAGCTGAGAACGTTATCGAAAGCCGACGCAGCGATTTACTTCGATTGTTTAGAGATAACGAGTGACTTTGCAGAGCAGTGAATTCACAATGTCGTCGATTCATGTCAAGACAAGGTTTCAATTGAAAGTTTATCGTTGATATATGCCAATTTCTATTCAAATTGTTGACGACATTTTATATCATAATAAGCTGAAAGTGCAGTGATTTAGTCGAAATTGTAACACGAAAAGGAACGATCGAAAATTGTTAATATATAAATGTAAATTCAACTGTTGACATCTGTGACTGCGTATTAAATATATAAACACCTCTTGCCTTGTTTTAATACGCTTGTATGGAAGGAAATCATTAATAAAAGTCTTAAACAAATAGCTTTCTTATTGTGGAATACACTGTGCAATTTATCCCTTGGACAAAGACAAAGTTTTCAAACTTGAGTGTCTCAGATGTGGCGAAAATTAGCAAAAGCTTTCTTAAATCAGTGGCCCTGTTTTATATATGGGTGTGAGTTATGTAGACATAAGGGAAAGGACAACTGGAATTTAATAAGAATCTAATAGTTTTCCATGTGGTGCAACAGGGTATAAAGACCTGTCTTAATAACATTTGCCTTGGATTTGTTAATTAACCAATGGAGGCATTACATACATTCCATTTTGCTTGCCAAAGTTCACAGACAAAATATTTACATGGGTAAAATCCATTTTGCAAGGCAAATTTCCCTATAACCATACAAGCAGTCACTGACGAAACTTCCCAGTGTTAGACATGTTTTCAGGGATGGATCCAGCATGATCTGGTAGGGGGGTGCTCTGCCAGCTCTGGTGTCGAGTGACTCGAGTTGTGTCGTCATGTCTGCAGCCCGCCATTAATATACAGCAACAGCAATATTTTGATAATTTGGCAAAACAACCTCCATGTGGTACAAGTGTACTGTGTACAATATCTGATTTTGTCTCTAATATTTTTTGCTTTATCATGAAAAATAGCACACACATACCCCCTGGCCAGGGCTAGGGAGGGGGTGTGCACCCCCCTCCCCAGTAAATCCATCCCTGCATGTTTTGCTATTAATTGTTACATTAACCACCCAAAAGTCTTTCAATGGTGGGTACATATTAATTGTAAGCTGTGAAGCTTTAGATTAGCCCATTGTGTGCACTCTCCCCTGGAATAGTAAAATTGTCTGTTAGACAGAGAAAAAGCAGGGGCGTGCCGGCAAGCAATGAGACAACAAGAACTTGTTGTGGGCCCCTGGCATTGTAGGCTCTTACATGATACATGTCAATCTAGATTTATTATATTTAAAACAAATAATGTCAAGAGCAATTTTATTTAAACATGAACAAGGGGGATACATATAATTAGAGAATATGCAGATACATCATAAATTTCTTTATTTATCAAATCATGGATGTCATGTGGCCAGTACGTGTAACACAACTAGGCATATACTATATTAGAAAGAGGTTGTTACATGTGTCACAATGCAACTTATTAATGGGTTTAGCATATTCACATGATATTAATTAAGGGGGTGAGTTCCAATTAACTATTTAACCAAGTGAAGCCTGGTTCACATATACCTGCTGTTTGTTGATGGGCTATTGTCGTTAAAAGTTCAACTAAATAATTCACAAAAGAATGTATGCATCAACAGCTGTAAACAATGATAATGCAGGCATATGTAAACCAGGCTTAAGATGCCAACAAAATCTTGATTTTTGTAGTAATCAAATTTCTGTAGTTGATATTTCCAAGTTGTTATCTCTCCTCACTTATTGAAATGGTTGGTTCAACAGAAAGATCTTTTCCTTTTATATATCAATTCACTTAACATGTTGCCAAATGTCTGATGATTTTGACTAAAATTAGTAAAATATATTAATCAAAATGTCAACCCCTTCATATAAATAAACATGCCAAAATAATATTCCAGAAAACAATACAATTTAATATAATTCCTTTATTAAACAAATTATACCTTTCGTATCGTTCCATTCTTCGTTTTGCGTTCGAAATTATGCCAGATAATTTCCTCAAATTGTAGTTCCTCGGCTGAACAATTGATACATTGTAAACATAATTTTGGCTGGTTCGAGCGAGCGATTCAATTAAATTTGCACGTCGTTTTTAGACCGCGAGAGACATTGCGATATATAATCCTTTCAATTGACCAACTAATTTTCGTATAACTTGAATATTTCGATGCATTTTAAAACATTTTTAAGGTTAATACTCGCAAGCTTCGCTCCTCGCCTGAAGATTTCAAACTGAATATTAAATTAGGGTCAAACGCCTACTTAGGGGGTGGGGTACATTGACACGGCCACAAGGTACATTGACACGTCCATTTTGTTCGATTTATGGCAGGCCTCTCTCCCAGAAATTTTTTTTTTCAAACCCATTCGCAGGCTAGAACCCATAGAGAGGCCTGCGGAGGAGGCTAGCTTAATGGGTTAAACTCTAAAAATAATCAGTTTAAATTTGTAATAAATTCATTTTTAACCAAATTGTTGTTCACACAGAGGCAAGCGGATGAACACCAAAGCGGCGTTAAATAACCTAGGATGGTGTAAATGTACACCAAATCGGTGTTCATACCGACACAAAGTTCTATTTACACTGATGTCTCCCAGAGGCAAGAGTTTACACCGATTTTGGTGTTGTGACAACATTCCCGGATTTACAGTGTACAATTTTTTTAAGATTTACATATTAAGATTTATATAATATTTTATGTAAGATCTTATTTATATTTAAGATACTTAAAACATTTAAGATTAAAATTATAAGATCTAGCTTCTTAAGCTTCTTAAAGATTTCTGACAAGGTGTTCTTAAGATTTCTTATAAGATCTTATTAAGATTTCTTACAAGATCTTATTAAGATTCTTTAAGATATATATAAGATCTTAATGGATCCTGCAGGATGTTAAATAGGATCTTAAATTATTTTTAAATAAGATCTTACAAGATCCTATAAGATATTGCAGTTGCTTGTAAGATATATGTTAAGATCTGAGTAGGATCTTAGTAAGATCTTATAACATCCTTTAAGATTGATGTAAGATCTTATATGATCTTAAGATTTATGTAAGATCTTATAGGATCTTTTAAGATTTATGTAAGATCTTATAGGATCTTTTAAGATTTATGTAAGAACTTATAGGATTCTTTAAGATTGATGTAAGATCTTATAGGATCCTTTAAGATTGATGTAAGATCTTATAGGATCTTTTAAGATTTATGTAAGATCTTATAGGATCTTTTAAGATTTATGTAAGAACTTATAGGATCCTTTAAGATTGATGTAAGATCTTATAGGATCTTTTAAGATTTATGTAAGATCTTATAGGATCTTTTAAGATTTATGTAAGATCTTATAGGATCTTGTAAGATTTATGTAAGATCTTATAGAATCTTTTAAGATTTATGTAAGATTTTATAGGATCTTTTAAGATTTATGTAAGATCTTATAGGATCCTTTAAGATCTATGTAAGATCTTATTTAGGATCCTTTAAGATCTTACTTAAGTTCCTTTAAGATTTATATAAGATCTTATTTAAGATCCTTTAAGATCTTACAGGATCCTATAGGATCCTAATTAGGATCTTACAAGATCTTACAAGATCTTAAATAAGATCTTACAAGATCTTATAAGATCTTATAGGATCTTACATTAAGATCTTAACAAGATCCTAATTAAGATCTTAATAAGATCTTAACTAAGATCTTAATTAAGATTTCTACCAGGGCCCGCTTGCCGGGACAATTTTGTTACATTGTATTGTTTTGACAGTTGTTAAAGTGCCTATATCAGGGTCAGGGAAATGATTTTTCCTGATAGTTTAGACAATTTTAAGAGCATTTGCAATATATTTGACAAGACGAAAATTTGATCTTCATGGACTTTTTGGGCCTCAAAGTTGCGGATTTTGGCAAATTTTTGTGTTTGACCGTGAGATACAATTACTGGTAACTAGTTGTGTTGTGAGGCGGAAGTGACGTAGGAATGAGAAGACATGCTTTCAGAACAACAGGACATTTATAGTAAAACAGCAACATTGAACACTTTATCCTTTTTAAAAACACGAGAAAAGAATATTTTATCGGTTTTTTGTTTATTTCGCTGAACGTCCATGGTTCAGAGATGCCACATAGGTGTGTAGCATATGGATGCTCCAACATTGCTAGCCAAAATGAAGGAATATCGCTGCACAATATTCCGTATGCGTCTATGCGAATGACGATCGGCCAGAGGCAATAAAGCGAAGGAAACGATAGGTTGGCTTTGTGAAACGAAAGAGACTGAACTTCGAACCAACAGCTTCATCGAAGATATGCTCAAGACATTTTATGGCCGAAGATTTTGTGAGACCATTCGCTGTTGGTTTGACGACTGAGAAACCGAAATTGAAACAGCTACTAAAGACAGACAACTTTGGTATCTGCGTGTATCCATGAGTGGCGATGAAATGAAACCTTTATCCGCAAGAGATCGCCGATATTCTGTAAGTAATGCATTTAGTAATTATGTTTTTACTATTGCCAGTCGTCAGTCCTTAATTTCGTTCAATGTGAATATGTTATATAAGAATGCATAATAAATCGTGCCATATATATTCATTAAAATTATATGTATTCATACCTAACAGGTAATAAATGTTAAGTGGTCAAGTACATTGCTAAAAGAGGAAGGTGAACCCTCCACCTTGACTGAACAAGGTGAAACCTCAACAATGGCTGAAGTTTATACTGACAAAGGTGAACCATCTACTTCAACATTGACTGATCAAGATGAACCCTCAACATGGCCTGGGCCTAGTGGTACAGAGGATACATTTGTCCAAGCAATTGACCAGGTTGGTAGTTGTAAACTATTGTATTTACTTAATATTATTTTATTGAAGTTGCTTGTAAAAATTGCACAAAGCTGAAATAAGAGCTACTGCGATTGAAAATGTGACATATGGTAAAAGTGTGCAAATAGTGAATGCAATCATTAAAAAGTACTTTTAAAATGTTTTTGAGCAATATATACTGTACAAAGTGTTGTGTTTATTTAATTAAATGAATAATATTCTTAACTTTATTCTTATAGCATTTTTCCTAATAATGAAAACCTCATGATGGAACCGAAGTTTGTTGTCTTGCTCTCGCAATCGTTGGAACTATTCAAAGTTTGTGCAACATGCAAGAAGCCTGATGTGCTGGTAGAAATGAAAGAGTTTGGCACAATGGTTCAAGTTGAGATGACGTGCAACAACAAAATATGTCCAGGGGGAAATAAAGTCTGGAAAAGTCAATCATTGATGCCTGGCACTTTGGATTGTCCTCGTAATA